GAGATGTTTTGGAGTATTAAGGGAAAATGAACTTAAGGTTATGTAATTTTAATAAATGTAATGAGTAGAAAGGGAAAATGGAATTAAAGAGATAAATATTAAGCTGGAAATTAAATGAGGAACATTTTGGAATGGGTTAATAAATTTAAAATGATGTTGTTCCTTAAATATATTTGTTTTCAAAAAGGATTTATGGTTTTTTTTTTCTGATAAAAAGGGATAGTTTTTTATGGTTGCAAGTTTTCTTTAAATGTTCAAATAAATTTTGAGAAAAAGATACTCTACGTATGATATTTTGAAATTACAAAACATTACTTTACTATATGGTATCACCATGCATGCATGATCATTTCTATCTATAGGATGGTTATTGTTTTAGAGCTATGAGATTCCTACTGGGCAATTGTGCTCACCCCTCGTTGTTTTATTTTTCTTATAGGAAGATAATTCGGATTGATTGGTTGGAGAGTTAAGAAGTTCATGTACCTCTTATGTGTAATCATATTAAACATGGATGTTTGTATTTATTTATTTGTAACTCTGTAGCCGGAACTTGGCATGTATTATTGTTATTGTTGTATTCATTACGAGAGAGGACATCTATTATTATGTTTCTATTACTCAAGGGTAATAAATATTTTTAATGTAAAAAAAAATGACCTAATTTACAGGTTTTTGGTAATGTTTCCGAGTAATTAAAATTAGGGCGTGACAGTATGAAAGAGAGTAATGGAAGAGAGAGTGTGTACAACGTGAAATAAAATAAATAGAAGAGAGAGAGAGAGAGAGAGAGAGAGAGATGGTAATGGGAGAGAGAGAGACCTCGCGAATTGAAAGGTATAAAAAAGACAATCAATAAGGAGCTTGTGAAGGACTCTTCGTGAGAGTCAAACCTCGAATAGTGTACCCCAATTAGAGCTATAAAGAAATTCATAGGTTATCCACGTAAAGGTATGCCTATTGTAACACTGTCTGAGGATACCTGTGCTTGTTAACAGTTCGGACCCTCAGTCTCTTTAATCTAGTCTCATGAGTACAATGTGAAACATAGATGAGAGTGTAGATTTGACAACTTTTGGAAAATTCATTTTATTGCAAAAATATTTGCCAGAAATGGATTGCATTATCAGATCTTAGAGTCACCACCTAATATTTTAGAAGAATTAGGAAGCTCATGACTTGTGCCAAGGCCACTGTTCATTGTAACCAATGATGCTTGGCTCGGAACCTCAAGTATGAAGGGAAAAGGTCATTAATTGAGCATCACCGCTCACCCGATCAGAAGATCGACATTTACTAACCATAATATGATTTTTATTAACTTTATGTTCATATTTCGATTATTAATAAATCCTAAAAGTTACTATGTGAAGCAAACACATATAGATTATGTCGTTCAATTTGGAGCAATTCGATTTCATGTATTTTTGAAAGTGTTTTGAATAATGCAATCATGAAAATCAATTTTATTCCAAATTAAATAACCCAACATTCATCCACTGACATGCATAGAGTTATATCAAATAAGCACGTAACCACATGGCAGGATGCTAAATATAGTAAGAAAATCACACGCAGGCGGGATACTAAAGTACAAAAACTTATATATTTATCGACGTCTTGCAAATTGGTACAAGACAAAGTTAGCAAAAACAAGCATGATCCTATACAGAAGATCCTAATACAATTCACTCATGAAATGCAACTATAGATCCGACTTCCAATATATGCATGTGAATCATCTCAAAATATGAAGTAGCGCACAAAATCACACAATAAATTATTAAACCCATAGATACAACTCTAGCGGGATCTTAAGGCATAAAACATAGATGCAAGACATGAATACGATGACAAACAAAATAATATGCATATTTACAGAATATGGAAAGCAAATAAAAGAACGGGATAGAAAGAAGTGAGAGTGGATAATTATTACAACGCTTTGAATATTACAAATCCGAATAGGGGAGAGGAAAAATATTACAACAAAATATATCCTCACAAACACTCTTTAATTAAAAGAAAAACAGAAAAAAAAAAAAACCAGAAACTTCAGGGGGCTTTGGAGATCGTCGGAGACTGTTTTACTCGACATCCGAGAGCCTGCTAGGTTTTGTCCAGGAGAATCTAGCTGGCCGACCAAAAGATGACCTGGCTGGCTGGCCAATCAGGCCAGGCCACATGCTTTGTTTTGTTGTTGAAACTAGAAAAACAAATGGAAAATATGTAAGTGGCTCAACTAACCACTTCCAGTTAGCTTACAACATGTTTAAAACATGAAATTAAAGCAAGAAAAGTAAAATAAGAAAGAAAATACAAGAAAGTAAAAGAAAATGAAAAGTGTGCAAAATTCATTTTCCAGGGAAGGATTTAATTTCTAAACTTCTTTTTGATCACCCTAAAGTTTAGGAAGTATGTTCTCAATCCTTAGTTTGAATGGAATAGTGTTTTTTTGGAGGTTTAGCAGTGTGTGTGGGGAAGTTGTTCAAACTCTCTATTTTTCTTTCTTTCAACAACACTCACTCTTTTTTTATCAAAGCTCAATAATTTGGTTATAACAGAGTTTTTTTGATGGTTTTGGTAATAGAATATAAGATGTATCAGTGTATATCTAAGAGATAGAAGTTTTGGTTTCAAATTAAAACTTCTCTCTTTTTTTTTCTTTTTTTTAATTTTTTTTCTCTCTATCTTTCTTCTCTTAATTGATTCTCTCTCTTTTAATTCATCCCCCCCTCTACATTCTGATCCTCTTTAACTCTACAAGCAATTAGGGAAGGCTGTTAAGTCAATAAGGTGAGAGACGAGGTGGGAGAGAACAAACTCCCTTTTGACAATAGAGGCCAAAAAATAATAATAGATTGGGAGTAGATGCATCTCATGCATGAATATATCAACAAAGGATTTGAAATGGCATGACCTACACGCTTTCATTAAGAATGTTGCCGAAACTGCCCTGTTCTTGGGAAAATTAATCGACCGTTTTGGCCGGTTGGCACTATTCATCACCATTCACTGTTTTTTTTTTTTTTTTTTTTTTGAGAAAATAGGGATTTTCAGCAGAATTATTTAAACTATGTATAAAAGGAATATTTTAGAAATGAGTTTTGAATGGATCTAAAAAACTTGGCGAAAACAGACTTAGGGTTAGAAATTAAGCAAAAAGTTTTATCTTTCGTACTAAGAACATTGTGAGAAACACATTATTCTTTTCATTATCAGGTAATCAAAACACATTCTAAAATACTTGGCCAAAACAGGCTTGGGGTTAGAAATAAAGCAAAAATTTTATCATTCATACTGAGAATATTGAGAGAAACACATTCTTATTTTCATCATCGGGTAATTAAAAGAAAGCGCTAAAATCTTAAGGCCCGCCAAAATGGGGTGTCTACACCTATGTCATAGTTTAATGAAATGATAAGTGTTATCTGAACTATCCAATAGAATGATGCCACCTATGTATTTATTATGGGTGTTCACGGTTTGGATTTGTATGGTTTACGGATCGGTTTGGACTAGGCCATATCTATGCGGTTTGGGAAAAAGACAACCTGCAACCGCCCGCAGTGCGGTTTGCGGTTTGTGCAGATAGGGTTCGCGGATGCGCGGGCGGTTGCGGACGGTTTGCGGATTGGACTTTTTTCTTTAAAAAATTATTTTTGAGCCTTATTTTTTTCCTATTTTGTAAATATTTATTTTGGGTCATTTTTTTCCTATTTCCTAAAATGCTCCAATATTAATAATTAATGAATTAAAACTTATAAAATTAAAAACAAAACAAAATCAATTCGTAACATAAACAAATCATTCAAAATCTTAAATCAAATCATAAACTAACACAAGCACATATTTCAAAATCCTAAACTATAACTGCATATTCATTAAGGAATTTAAAATTCCAAATCACACTTCATCCGGGACAAGTTCAATTATGTAACCATAATAATATGATCAATATTTATTCAGTTTCAGTTGATATAATACTATTAGCAAATGTAATGTCAGAGTACGCTTAAAGAATAAATGGTGTTTTATTTTGGGCAAAAATATCTAGGTGGGATATAGGAATGAAATCAACGGTTAAGATAAAAAAATAAAAAATAAAAAATAAATAAAAGTACGGGCGGTTTCTTGCAGGTGCGGGTTAAACCCGTAATCCGTCCGTAACCCGCAAACATGCTATATTTCAAACCGTATCCGCTCGCATTATATTTGAGAAACCGCCAATTTGTATGTGGGTTGGGCGGGTTGGGCGGTTTTTGCGGATCGGATAAACCGTTACCCACCCCTAGTATTTATCACGTGAAAGTTAACTTACAGTCGGTCGGTTTAAACTATATATTTTTTTTATGCAACCGTTGTTGACCAACAATTAAGATTTTTTCAATGTTTTTAATCGAAAGTTGACTACTGTATCTAATGAAGCCGACTGTTGCTCAACAGTTCGGTTCAGATTGGACGGTTTGACCGGGTCAATTGATTATTTGTACAGCACAATAACAAATATAAATACTATAAAAAAAACATGATAAATGGATGTAAATGAAAATAAGAGTTTTATGTAATTTGATTAGGTTAATGGGAAAAGGGCTAACGACAAAAATGTATAAAGAAAAAAGAAAAGTGAAAATGAAAAAAATGAATTATTTGTGTAACTTAGAGTTGAGATGTTATGAAATGATGAATTATACATAAAATATCACGTATAATATATATACTACGTTAGACAAGTAGGATATGTTTTATAGGTGAATTGATACAATGAACTAACGATTAAACCTACCCAAAACCCACCACCGACTATCTCAACCCGATCGAGTCAATCAGTATTTTGTACCACCCTAATACTCATAACTAGTTTTACTTGGGCCTCAAGTGATATTATTCAAAATATATGTCCTCCAACACAAAATTCAAAAAATAATTTCTCAATCCCCAATCTTCTCCCTAGTTTGAGTCTGCAAAGTCTCCCCACATACCCTCATTTCATCACTGCACAAAGTAGAGACTCTCTCTCTCTCTGAGGTTTTTCTCTTCCTCTTCAAGCCCATCTCAGTTCATCATCGGATCTCAAATCTGCAAATTCTCGGTACTCTCTCTCGCTCTCTCCATCAATCTCTAATTCTCTCTCTATATATACAGCTATATACGTATATATACAGTGTTCATCAGATCTTTGTATCAGTATAACTCACACATCGAATCGAATTGAAATTAGTTTTAATGGCTTCCCCTGGAAATCAAAACCAACCAGGAGGGCCATTTGATATGCACAAGTTCTTCAAACCCTCACCAAACCCTATATCCCCAAATCCTAATGCCAATTTGAGTTCTTCACCATTCTCACCTTCCTCTGCTTATCCTCCACCCCCTTCTTCTTCTTACCCTCCGCCCACTGGCCCTTACCAGTTCCACCAACCTCAGTTTCACATCCCTTCTTACCCTCAACAAGATCACCAAAGATCTATCTCTTATCCTACACCCCCTCTTCAGTCTCCCCCTCCCCATCATCTCCCTCCTCAAAACCCTAATGCCGGAGCGCGGCTCATGGCTTTATTGAGTGCTCCACCGTCGACTCTCGAGCTTCCACAGCTACCCACTGTGCCTCCAATAGCTCCAATTCAGCCCTCCTCATCTGGGTCTTCGGATTTTTCAATGCCCATGCCCTCTAATGTTCCTATACTGCCTGCGGTCCCTTTGGCGCCGAATGTCAATCCGGGTGTGATTGCACATTCAGCTCCCATGAGGATGGCCAGTAGTAAACTCCCAAAGGGTCGCCATTTGATCGGTGACCGCGCGGTTTATGATATTGATGTTAGAATGGAAGGTGAAGTGCAGCCACAACTTGAGGTTACTCCGATAACCAAGTATGTTTCTGATCCTGGTCTTGTTTTGGGCCGCCAAATTGCGGTCAATAAGACATACATATGCTATGGATTGAAGATGGGAGCTATTCGGGTCCTCAACATAAACACCGCATTGAGATCATTGCTTAAAGGTCTTGCGCAGGTTGGTTGCTAGTGGCAAGTTTCTATGTTTCAACATATTTGCATGATTTGATCTGTTTTTTTCCTGAAATTAAGTTGAGTTTGTTGTTTAGAATTATTCATGGTACTCAGTAATCCGAGGTTTTGTGATATTGTATGCATATTATGTTTTGAGGTCTTACATTTAGTATTAAGATTGCATTCGTTAGTTAGTTTGAATGGAAATGGTTCATTATGTTTTGAGCTGAGCACTGAGCACTGAGCCTGTCCATGCTGAATGAAAATTTGAACTGTGTGGTCACTACAAGTGTGTTTTTCTTTTTACATGTGGAACAGAGTCCACTGTCTCTTTAAATAACGTCAATTTTGTTAGTAGTCTACTTCTAGTCGTGGGCATAAAACATAAGCATTTTCCATCTAGGTAAAAGCTGGAGCATTAATTTTCTTAATAGTCTACTTCCAATTGCGGTTCCTGATTGATTTCTATTTATTTTTGTATACCCTCTGTTAGATTGATTAGCTGGTATCTTTAGGGATGGAGATTGAAAGATTGATTGGAGACCACTAGAAAGAGTTGAGCCATTCATGGCGGCAAATTTGCTGCATTTGCTAAATTTTCTCTAGGTGATTAGTGTTGCATGAGAAAAATACAGTTTAGTATGTAACTAACTTGGGGATAAGAAGCATAGATCAAGATTGCGGACATGGGAAGCAGATTGGAGGATAAGAAGCACAGAGGACATGAATATGACACAATATGGACATTTTCACACTGCAATTTTTAGAAAAATCATGACAGGACAACAAATAAAATATTTATTTATTTATTCGTATATATAAAATAATAACTATTTCTTTATTTTTTACATTACAAATATTTTTATATTTTATTATATCAATATCAAAATAGTGAAAAACATTTTTAAATTCTACATATTGAAAAGTAACTGTGAACTAAAAGTCTTAATATTTATTTTTAAAACTTTATTCATAAATAATTTGGAAGTTTTTGGCTTTAAAATTTCTAAAATTAAAGAGTCTTGAGTGATTAATAATAATAGGTATAAATGACGATGTTTTTATTTTATTATTCGATCATAAATTATTTTCTTCAAACTTGCAATATGTTTCATGTGTGTCTAAGTGATGGATGTGTGTGTGTCCCACAAGTATCCGTTGAGTGCCTAACATGGACACGCAGCCTTCTTAGAAGTGTTGGTACTTAGCTTAGGGGGTGTTAGTGCAACAATGATTTCCTGACATTTTACTATCTAGGTTTAATTTTCATTAAAATATGACGATTTCATTGGTATGGGGTACGGACAATCCCATACATTGGCACCATATTTTGATTTCCTCAATGAGTGTTATCTTGTATTTTATTTTTGACTAAACATGGTACTGATATTGCGAAAATGGTTTGCTGATGTTTAATTATCATTAAAATCCAAGGATGTCAGTGGTGTGGACAACCCATTTGCTCCATATTTTGATTTTCTTGACTAGCATGGTTATCTTTGAATATTTGACATTACCCTTTTCTTTTTTGTGATATCTCTATGTAATACAATCTGTGCGGCAGATCATAAACATCTGCATGGGATTCTATATAAAGCAGTAGTTCAGTAGCTTCTGTCTTGTGTTTATTTTATTTGTTGAATGTACTTATTTTAAGGGGGAAGTGCTTACCAAATTGTTTAGTTCACTATTAGCATACTTATTCTAATTTTTCCCCCCTTTCTAGCAGAGGGTCACAGACATGGCTTTTTTTGCCGAGGATGTTCACCTTTTGGCTAGGTAACTTTTTGTCTATTTTTTCATTAATGCTTTCTTCAAGTTTGTCTTTGGGTTGCTAATGTGCTTCTGTGCAGTGCGAGCATTGTTGGGAGGGTTTATGTATGGAAGATTACTGAAGGTCCTGATGAAGAAGATAAGCCACAGATTACAGGAAAGATTGTTATTGCTATTCAGATAGTAGGAGAAGGAGACTCTGTTCATCCACGAGTTTGTTGGCACTGTCACAAGCAAGTATGCAAATGTTCATTTTGAAATCATAGTTGCTGCTTCTCTTTGTTGTTCTTCTTCTTTTTATTGTATGTTGTTCAATATATATATATATTTTTTGCAGGAAGTTCTGGTAGTTGGGATTGGAAAACGAGTTCTGAGAATCGATACTACAAAAGTTGGAAAAGGTGAAGTATTTTCAGCGGAGGAGCCTCTCAAATGTCCTGTTGATAATCTGATTGATGGGATCCAGTTTGTTGGTAAACACGATGGAGAAGTGACTGATTTGTCAATGTGCCAATGGATGACTACCCGTTTGGTTTCTGCTTCAACAGATGGCACGGTTTGTTTCTCTCCTGATAGTTTTGCTTGTTATCATCTGAAGCGATTTATGTGCTAACAGGTACTCATGTGGAACATAACATATTCCTGTGCATCCTCTTGCTATGGAATCAAGGAATACATATTGGGTTCCCATGTGGTGCGGGATGCGAGTCTTTGTTAGGTATTAGAAGTCAAGTGGAGTTGGCTTAGGGAAGGAAGGATGGTGGATTTTGACTTTTGTTATATAGAAATCAATTCAGATGAGGTCCTTACAACAAAGCATAGGTTCTTTTAAGTGCTTGAGTGAAATTATTGGTGGTTATGGTGAAGAGAAAACCTGAAGTAAATTGACTCGGTAACTGGTGCACACTATGTATTTTATTTTATAACAATGTGTGGGATTCAAAATTGTTAGAGTCTATTCATTTATAAAAAATACTTATATTCATGTATGAGTATTATAATAACAATAAGTAAAAAATATGTGAAGTAAAAATGTAAAAAACAAACCTCACGTAGTATGAATTGGGGGAATTTAGAACGTAACAGAAACAAAGCCGTCATTCTAATAATCTAAGGTTAAGTGTGTATATGCGTACTCGCATGTGTGTGTCTGTCTGTATGAAATTCGATGTTAGTTATGGTTTATTTGTATCATAAATATCATTTATTGTAATGGAAGTGTTGCCCTTTGAAGTTTCTATAATAGGATGAGTTTTTGGCTCAACCTGTGGTCTTTGTTACCAAACTCCTTTCTATGAGGTGGCAATCGATAAAATTTTATTATGTCACGGAGTGCGTATGAATGGAGGGGGATGGGGTGGTTAATTTGTTTTTTCTTTTTTGTTGTTTTCTATTTTCTCAAGATGGTGATGGGTTTTTCTTTGAGATGTTGTATGTAGGAGGTTCCTTGAGGAGGGCAGTACAGTTCTTTTTTGTTTTTGTTTTTTTTTTTTTTGGGGAGGGTGGCAGGATATGCAGGGGCACCATATCTTGCTTCACAGAATTGTTGGGACTGTCGGATTTCTTTTCCTCCAAAAGGGATTTGGACAGTTGAAGTCAGTTCTAAGTTGGCAGTTTTCAGGTTGGGGGCAGCAAAATATGTAACTCTCACAATAAATAACTTGATTAGTAGGACAAAAAACTTTATTAATTGGTGTTTTATGTGTAAGGAGGTGGGAGTAGAGTAGGGTGGCAGGATATGCAGGGGCACCATATCTTGCTTCACAGAATTGTTGGGACTGTCGGATTTCTTTTCCTCCAAAAGGGATTTGGACAGTTGAAGTCAGTTCTAAGTTGGCAGTTTTCAGGTTAGGGCCAGCAAAATATGAAACTCTCACAATAAATAACTTGATTAGTAGGACAAAAATCTTTATTAATTGGTGTTTTATGTGTAAGGAGGTGGGAGTAGAGTAGGGTGGCAAGAGATGCATGGTCACTTACGTTGACTGGATTCTCTTTGATGTTCCCTAGGAGAATGACTCATTTAATTCATTGTTGGAGAGGGTGCTATCTGCCATGTCAGTAGAAGAAGTAAAGCGTGATTAGCTATTCCTTTGTGTGATGTGGTGTTTATGGAGTGAGAGGAATAGGCAATCCTTTGGTGACATGGAGGCTTGGACACATAATGTGAAGAGTCAAATTTTCCCATTTCTTTTTCTCTTTTTTATTTTAATTGTAATTAATTTATTTTTTCATCCTTTTGATAAGTCTTGCATACAAGGTGGTGCTCCTTTGGCACTATTTTACTAAATTTTGCTGTACTTCAGAAAAAATGATTTTTTAGTGAATGAAGCTTGTTTTTAGTGTTGAAGCTGTAATTTCTTAAGTTGTTTTCTTTTGTTAGGCTATATTGTTTATATTTAGTTTTCATTAATTAATACTCTATTATGATACTAATTTATCATTCTTGATGTAGGTAATGTCTTTGCCATGCCTGTACGCATACATATGCATGTTGATCTATTTTCTTTTGGGTTCATTTAAGTGATTATTTGCATGCTAAATATAGCTTTCTCATTCTCAACAGATAAAAATTTGGGAGGATCGCAAATTACAACCACTTGTGGTATTGAGGCCACATGATGGTCAACCTGTTAATTCTGTTACATTCTTGACTGCCCCTCACCGCCCAGATCACATTATTCTTATAACAGGGGTATGTACATACTTTCAGAGCATTTATCTTTTTATTTTTTTAATAATTTCATTAGAGTAGGTTTTTAACCCTTGCTAGTTCATCTTGATGTTAGATGCCTTTGTCTTTATGGGATCAATGGTATGCTAGGTGGTGTGCCATTATGAAAGTGCTTTTAAAATTTGATTTGGATGCATTGGCACCATGGATAATGCTATATGTACCTAAAATTGTAGGTACCTCTAGCATTACCCTTCAGTGTCTGCAGATTTGATATTGGACTAACAGCCGACTTAAAGAGTTATTATCTTCTTCAATATGCTTTTTAACAACCTTTTAGGGTGAGATGTGTTTATGTTATATAATTTTTAAAAGAATGTTCACAGGGTCCACTGAATCGGGAAGTGAAGATATGGGCCTCGGCCAGTGAAGAGGGCTGGCTGCTCCCTAGTGATTCTGAATCATGGCAATGTACCCAGACATTGGACTTGAAGAGCTCATCTGAATCTCGAGTTGAAGAGGTGTTCTTTAATCAAGTTGTGGCCTTGTCTCAAGCAGGGCTTCTCTTATTAGCAAATGCCAAGAAGAATGCTATATATGCTGTACACTTAGAATATGGTTATAATCCGGCAGCAACCCGAATGGATTATATTGCTGAGTTTACTGTCACCATGCCAATTTTGAGTTTTACTGGAACCAGTGATTTATTACCTCATGGTGAACACATTGTTCAGGTTTATTGTGTCCAGACACAAGCTATTCAGCAGTATGCTTTGGACTTGTCCCAGTGTTTGCCACCCCCACTAGAGAATGTGGTGTTAGAGAAGTCAGACTCGAGTGTTTTGCGTGATGCAACTAGTATGGAAGGAGTTACTACTTCTGAGACTTCTGGAAGTAAACCTACTGAGATTTCTTTAGCTAGTTCAGTACCCAAACTCTCTGTAAATGACAGTGGCTCTGAGAGTGCTCCTATTACTATTACCAGGAATCCAATGGGCTCTACTTCAATGGACACTGCCACTTCAGCAGAATTTGCTACTTTTGAACCTAGACCTATTTCTTTGCCAACTGTAAGTAGCAATAATGATGTATCTTGCATTGCATCACCTCCTTTACCTTTGAGTCCGAAGTTGTCTGGAAAACTTTCTGGTTTTAGAAGTCCAACAAATGGCTTTGAGCCAGGTCCTGTGCTGGACGATCGTGGTGGAGATCAACAAGCTATTGAATATTCAGTTGATAGGCAAATGGATACTGTTCATACGAACTTGTCTGATGTCCCTTCTTTGGATGATGATTCAAAAAATGGTGAAAACAAGGGTGTACGGGATGATATTACCTCTGTTCTCAATCAGCATATTAAGTTCAAGCACCCAACTCATCTGGTAACTCCGTCAGAGATTTTGATGGCTACTTCATCATCTGAATCTCCCCATGTTATTGAACAGAAGAGTGAGGGAGAGCCAAACATTCAAGATGTGGTTGTCAACAGTGATGTGCGCAATGTTGAGGTGGATGTTAAGGTTGTGGGTGAAACCGGATCGAGTCAGAATAATGAAATTGGCTCTCAGGTAGAATCTCCCAATCTTGTTCCGGAAAATAAAGAGAGAGTGTTTTGTTCTCAGGCTTCAGATCTTGGTATTGAGATGGCCAGAGAATGTTCTGTGTTATCGTCTGAAATGTATATTGTAGAGGAATCTCAGCAACTTGATGGAGCTAATGTAAGCGAGGCACTGGCTCAACCTTCAAATGTTGAGGAAGAAGTCCACGACTCCACAAAGGATGCCTCTGGAAAAAATGTGGGATCAGCCATGCCTGCTGCAGTTCCCCAACAGATGACACCAACTACGAAAGGGAAAAAGCAGAAGGGTAAGAACGCTCAAGGATCAGGTCCATCATCGCCAATCCCAAGTGCTTTCAATTCCACAGATTCTAGTGAGCCAGGTGTTAGTTCAAGTATTCCTTCTGTGGAAGCTGTGTCTGCAAAAATTATGGCCATGCAGGAAATGCTTAATCAGGTCATTTTTCCATGCCTTGCATTTGCAAAACTTGATTTATACATTTATCAATAGTTATTTTCTATGTAATTGGAAAAACTTTTGGTGTACTTCTGAAATGTCACCATTCGTGCAAGTGTTTTCTTCAAAGGTTTAATTTCAATTATAATTTTTTTTTCCTCAATAATTTTAATTATTACTTAATCAGTATTAATAACTTACTGTTATTATACTAAAATCTTGTTTATTTGGTTTGTTGCTTATCAAATGCAACTATTCTCATTGCCCATGCAGATTTTTCTTGTACTAGTTGTATCTGTCTTTTGTTCAGCAGTACATTTTCTGTTGAGGAACCAGGTTTGGTCCAATACATTATTATGTATTGCCTACCAAGATAGGTTTCATTTCTTGTAAGATTACATAGGCATGGTTTGGGAAGTGGGTTGGCTTGTTGGTTTTTTTGGCTATTTTAGCTTGGGGCTAAAAAGCTTGGTTTGGGAAGGGCTTTTGGTTTTTTTGACTTTTTTGTGAGAGAAAGAATGTAATGATTATGGGTTGGATGTGATATTGTCTTATTGGGCTAAAAAGCCAATTTTATTTTTTGTGGCTATTTTAGCCAAAAAAGCCCCCCAACCCTCTTCCCAAACCATGCCATAATAGGTTATCATGCACACTGTAAGCTGTGTCTTTTGTACTTATTATCTCCTGGCTCTCTTTTATTTATTTTTTAAATTTCATGCAGTTAACAACCATGCAAAAAGAAATGCAGAAGCAGATGACAGTGATGGTTGCTGTCCCAGTTACTAAAGAAGGTAGACGGCTGGAGGCATCCCTTGGGCGGAGCATGGAGAAAGCTGTCAAGGCCAATTCTGATGCATTATGGGCTCGTTTCCAAGAAGAGAGTGCAAAACAGGATAAATTAGCACGAGAGCGTACTCAGCAAATAACAAGTTTGATCACTAACTGTATAAATAAGGACTTGCCGGCTATGGTGGAGAAATCAGTGAAGAAGGAATTAGCTGCAGTTGGACCAGCCATAGCTCGTACAATTTCTCCAGCTATTGAAAAATCTGTATCTGCAGCTATTGTCGATTCCTTCCAGGTTAACATTTTAAAGTTTGTGTCTTATTTTGCAATGTAGTCTTGTTGGGTACTAATTGATGTTACGTGGTGCAGAGAGGAGTTGGTGACAAGGCAGTGAACCAACTGGAGAAATCAGTTAATTCAAAGCTTGAAACTACTGTTGCCAGGCAGATCCAAGCTCAATTTCAAACTTCTGGAAAGCAAGCACTTCAGGTATGCATAAGTTTATAATTTCATTTAGATAGACATGCTTCAATTTTTAGTGCTTGGGACTTTTTTTGATTGAGTGAAGATGCTTTTTAGAATGGAGTATTATATTGTAAACCCAAAGGGATTCTATTTATATGCCCTTACGAATTGTTGTTTATTTTTATTTTGTTTACTTTTAGTCTAAATGTTCAGTTTTACTATCATTCACTCTCTTAAATGTCAGTTGTGGCTTTTGGTTCTTTTGATAATATGTGGACTCTTGGTGCCTTTTTTTTCCTTCTTTCTTTTATTGGATTATTTTTTACACATTGAGATTTTGCACACTCTCTCTCTCTCTCTCTCGTAGCAGTGGGGTTAGTGTGTTGTGCGTGAGACACTTGGTGTGTATCATATTTTTTGAATCAGGTTTTTATAATTTGACAAACAAAGACTTTTTGCAGTATTACTTCTGTGTTTTTGGAAACATAAAACTTATTTATTGGGTGAAAACGTAGCGATTTGTCAGCTTCACAAATGTGGGATCCAGTTTCACTGTTTTGTAGCTGATATTTAGCCAATGTTGCCTTGAATCTGTATGATAAATTTGTCTTAGTGTGTTGTGCGTGAGACACTTGGTGTGCATCATATTTTTTGAATCAGGTTTTTATAATTTGACAAACAAAGATTTTTTGCAGTATTACTTCTGTGTTTTTGGAAACATAAAACTTATTTATTGGGTGAAAACGTAGCGATTTGTCAGCTTCACAAATGTGGGATCCAGTTTCACTGTTTTGTAGCTGATATTTAGCCAATGTTGCCTTGAATCTGTATGATAAATTTGTCATTTTCGCTTTGCTTCTTTTGACTATATAATGTGTGCATTTGGGGTTTATTTGATGTTATGCAATTTTTGTTTGTTAACTTTGAATGATTTGTGACTCCCTCTCTTCCTCTGCATGTCTGGTATTGGTCTGACATGAAGAGCTCGAAAGCCTTATTAAATGAATCTGGAAACTTTGATTTCATTGTTTGAGCCATCAAATCTAATCCACGCAGGATGCATTGAAGTCTAGTTTGGATGGTTCAGTTATCCCTGCCTTCGAGACGTCATGCAAAGCCATGTTTGAGCAAGTTGATGCTACCTTTCAGAAAGGAATGTTTGAACATACAACGGCAGCTCAGCAACAGTTCGAGTCCATTCATTCCCCGCTGGCACTTGCTTTAAGGGTATGCATCCATATGACATTGTATCATGCAAACATGCTGCTCTCACTGTGTTCTTATTTCTTCTATCATGAAATTGCTCATAAGTGGCCAAAAATACCAGTAACACCGCAGTCAAATAATCTTATCTACTGTGGGACACTGACAGTCCCATTTTTACCATGGTAATATAGGGAGATGTTGAGTATTCTTGTCTGTTTGTCCATCTGATTGGTGTTGTGTCCACTTCTTTTATGCTTTGTTTTCCCAATTCTTAGGATGCCATTAATTCAGCATCGACTGTGACTCAAACTTTAAGCGGGGAATTGGCTGATGGTCAAAGAAAGTTGTTAGCTCTTGCCGTTGCAGGAGCAAATTCAAAGGCAGTAAATCCCTTAGTTACCCAACTTAGCAATGGACCTTTGGGTGGTCTCCATGACAAGGTTTGTTCAACTTCTACCTATTGGTTTGTTCGACTTCTACTTGTTTACTCTCTCAAAGCCATTCTGATTTTGAGGATTCTGTCTATGCAATAGTTTGAGGCACCTTTGGATCCAACCAAAGAGCTATCTAGATTGATATCTGAACATAAATATGAGGAAGCTTTCACCACAGCCCTACAAAGAAGTGATGTTTCTATCGTGTCTTGGTTATGCTCTCAGGTATATTTCATACGTGCACAACCATACAAAGACGTTATGTTTCTTTTGTGTCTAGGTTATGCTCTCAATTATAATAAATCACCATGCAACTTTGCTTTCGGGAAGAGGGAATGCTCGTATTTTAATTGTTGATGAAAAAGATTTGACTCATATTCCCAGGCCTAGCTAGTTTGCAAGTTGATGCCAAGTTTTTATTCCTAGCTAGTTTCTATTCGGATGCTATGTCAACTGTCCAGAACAGTGGGGAACTAGGTATACAAGTTTAGGCCAATCACACACATGCACTTATTCCTCTACATATATACTACATTTTCATCTTTAATAATTTCGTGTTTGTTGTTTGGACTTTAGATATGAGTTTTAATCTATGGTATGGATATTCTTTAAGAATATAATAAACTTATTTCTGCTCTAATTATTTGAAGTTAGAAAAATCTGAAGTTCACATTCTTCTATAAACCAAAATGTGATAATTTATTAGTTCTAAACTTTTCTTAGATTTTTTGTTTACATCTTACCTCTGGTGTCAAAATTGTTTGTCTTTGGTTCTAAATGATTTACAGTTTTTCACTCCTTTTTATTTCTAAATGACCAACCTTGGGTTTTATGATGTGATTACATTCACTCTCTTGTTTCCTATGTAACTTCCACTCAACACCCACCTCCATTACTGATGCTGGTATTCATTGCCTCAACTTTTTTCAATTGAACTGTACCAGAGAGAGAATATTTGGCTTTGGACTTCTAAATAAGTTAGAACCGCCTTTGTTTTGCCCTTTTTCTATTCTACCAGGTTGATTTACAGGGAATTTTATCAATGGTTCCTCTCCCTTTGAGCCAAGGAGTGCTGCTATCACTTCTGCAGCAGGTGGCATGTGACATCAGCAAGGACACGACCCGAAAGCTGGGGTGGATGACTGACGTGGCGGTTGTGATAAACCCAGCTGACCCGATGATCGCAGTGCACGTGCGACCCATCTTTGAGCAAGTGTATCAGATTCTAAGCCATCATCGCAGCCTTCCCACTACTTCCAGTGCAGAGATCTCAAGTATTCGACTTGTTATGCACGTTATCAACTCGATGCTGATGACCTGTAAATGATCGTGCCTGTGTTTGACGTTATGGAAAATAATTAATATTTTGTGTTACTGATGTACTTCGGTCAGTTTGTACAAAGTAAAAGTAGTATGGATTTTTATTTTTATTTTTGTTTTTCTAATTTTTATGTGAAGGGTAAGGGTGCTGAATTTGTAGAGTTGGTTTTTTCTTGAAGACATATATCAACCTAAAGAAAAACAATGTTGAAACTGTGTAACACGTGACTTTGCATTTCGGATTCTTAGACTGGTTTTCTTTTTGGTATGAGGAATTTTTACTATGAAATTTTTGTATTTTGCTATTTTTGAAGTTTCAACATTTGTCTTTGACGACAAAGGTTTTCATCTTTTTGATCTCTTTTATTTTTCTTTTCTACTTAGTTTGGGACTTTATATTTACCCCAGACTATATTTATCTTTATGAGATACTATTTTAGGTCCAACACTTTGTTGTTTTTTGGGCTAGGTGTACAAAGTCCTAATGATGATGTTTGTTGTGTGTGTTTGGATAACATGGTATATTTATCTTGGTTTTGGTACTAAAGTCATGTTTGTGTTTTGGATTCTGTCGACTAGGATTGTGGTGGAATTGAATAATGAGATTATTACTATAATTAAGTTTACGAATAGAGAATTGATTACAAAATTAATTACATAAAATATAGGTGAAGTAATTTGAGTGAATATTTTTTTTTTTTTACGATGGGCCCTACTGTGTGATATGTATGGCCAGAGTTGTTTGGTTTTGTGATTGGTTGTGGTTGTAGTCTTTCACGTTTGCTATTTCTTTACATTTGGTAGGGGAATTGGTATAATTTTATCTTATTTCATGTGTTTTTAGAATTAGTAGACATGAATTACATTTGGTATAATTTTATCTTATTTCATGTGTTTTTAGAATTAGTAGACATGAATTACATGTCCTAGTACTCATAATAATCTAATATGAAATTTTTTTGGTCTTTTTAATCTTCTAATCCACATTTCTTTTAATCCTTTTATTTTGCATTTCACCCCTTTCACGAGATTCAATAAATTAATTTTTAAAAAAATGTTTTACAAATAAAATATAGAGTATCCAGAATGACGTAGTAGTAGTATATTTGTAATTAGAAGACATAACAATAGATATTTTAAAAATAAAAAGACTAAAATATTATATAATTTTTTTATTTATATATCATTAACCGTCACCGCCATTAAAACATTAAGAAAGAGAGTCAAAAGTCTCATTTCTAAGCATATGCACTAAATAGGACAATGTTTTGAGTAGATTTCTTCTAGACGCTTACTTCCAAATCTTTGAATATTTGTTGAGTCTCTCATTTTAGTCTTGTCTTCCAATTTGATTCCAAATTTCGTTTCTTATACAAAAATTAAGCCCCCCAAACTGACCCTATTACTATGACATTTGAATATTTGAGAGTCTAATTAATAAGTCTTGTCTTCCAATTTGATTCCCCTATTTCTTCCACAAATTCAGCATTGATCCTTCAAACCGTCTCAGTGATGTTGGTCTTTTCCACAGTTGGTAGTTTTGTTTGGAATTCTGTCTTAAAAAACTATGTAATCCATCAATAATGGCCTCCTATTGTCAAATTATAACAATTATTCTAAAAACAGTCTCAAAAAATTACATTAGCACTGCCGCTACGGATGTGCAACAATCCCGCCTACTTGCCCAACCCACATCTACTGGTGTCACCACCTCCGGATTGAGAGGATTGCCGAGTTAGGTTGAATGGAATCAGTTAAATTTATGTGAATTGTGGTACAACGATTTAAAATTTTCAACCCACCCAAATAATCGATCCAATTTATTAGTTCTTATATATAATCGATCCAATCATGAATAAAATTTTCCATTTTTTTTTTTTTTTTACTTTCTTCATATATTTGGATGCTAAGCCATTATCAAAGTTTTATAAACACATGTACATCATCAAATATTTTTTTAATTTTAATTTTGTAGTTTCACAATTACATTACGAGACTAATGATTTAAAATGTGGTCAGACAATGTTTGGGGAAAATCTTTTTTGGTTTTTTTTAAAAAAAAATTTTCACTAAAAGACAAAGTTTTTGCAAAACTAAAAAAAATAAATCCAAACAAAATATTACATCCAATCCCATAATCATTTCACTTTTTCTCTCACAAACATCACATTTAACCACAAAAAAATCCAGCTATCTTCTCAAACACCAAAATTTTTTTCTCCAATAATATTCTACAACTAAAAAAATCTACATAAAAACTCACTTTACAAACGCCCACAATGTGTTAAATTTTATAACCTATAAATCTGCCCCACCTGCTGGTTCAAAACTGCTAAAATATTCAAGCCAACCAATTGATTATTTTATTGTAGGATATTAATTTTGTCAGTTAAATTAGATTACAATTAAAAAGATTGTCAATATTTCATCAATTCAAATCCCTAATCTGTCCTCTTACAACACTTTAAAATATGATTACAAGATCACTCGATTATAAGATTCTTGACCAGCCGAAGTTAAAGTTGTGCAAATTGACAACAAATTAGATGATATCAGTCAAACTCATTCATCATTATCATCAAATATGTTTACTTTTTATAATATCATTATATTGAATATTAATTTGTGAAATATAATTTTAAATGGAGAAATAATAGAGATCCCTTTTTATTTCGACTCTCATAATCTTCATAGACACATGTCAATAAATAATAAGAGAAAAAAAATAAAACAAAATAAAACGAAAAAAGTTTACTAATTCATAATCTTCATAGACACATGTCAATAAATAATAAGAGAAAAAAAATAAAACAAAATAAAACGAAAAAAGTTTACTAATTCCAATATATTAGAGACAGTGAGAGTCCAGACAAAAAAAATCTCAACCCTTCTTCTTTTTAAATAATATCATATATTTGATTAATTTATAAATTGTGTTGATTGACACCAGATTTGACAATGATATTTACGCCAACTCAGCTCATCAAAACAAAGATTTTGATCCAATGGTGACCACAATGAACAATAATATCTTTTTGGGTGGATGCAATAAACAATATCTTAAGAGCAATGGTTCAGGCTCCCTTAAAAGTTTCACCCCCACCACTTCTACATACATGTGAAGGTTGGGGATTGAGAAATCAACTTCTTCCTCATCCATTCCATCAAACATTCTCAATGGCGTTGCAAGACTTCTCACTGTTGGATTTGTTTGTCCCCTCTATTCATATATATATGTAATCACATTTGTACATGTCGATTCAAAAAAAAAAAAAAAAAAAAAAAAAAAAAAAAAAAAAAAAAAAAAAAAAAAAAAAACTCTCACTAAAATATTAATAGGGCCTTTAATCAAATTATATTTTTTTTAATGATAAATATAATTTTAAAAATAATTATTCATAAAAATATATTTTGATTAAAAAATTATTAATATCTGATTAACTTGATTTTTTTAGAAAAATAAAATACTCAATAAATTTTACATATTAAACAATTCAAATTATCAAAATAAGACCGTGATCGACAAAAACACCGTCCAAAGTGGACTAGAGATGGATCGGAGAAAAACCTGTTTTGTTCTTTTCTTCTTTCTTTTTTTTTGAGCCCGAAAATATGCCCGAAGGCTTACACAGAAAATAGAGAGCAATCTAAAGCCATAAGAGAAGCAAGAGGAGCTGGGGGAGACGAAACCCAGTTGGGTCCTAAACTGCCACGAAGAGCAGGCTTCGCCACCCAATTTGCCACCCAATTTGTGGACTTAGAGCTCCACATAACAGTAAGTTGTCGAAAGAGTAGATAAAAATTGGATATCCTTTAAAATGACACCCACTTCCTGAATAATAATTTCCCTATAATGTTTGATATAAAGTGTGTGTGTTAATTTTCGACCACACTGCCAACTAAGTACTCAACTGGAGAACACTGACAGAATAAATTAAGTCCAAACGACCTGTCACAAAAAGAAGAGATTCTGACGGTGGTTCGTCCACCCGGGGCACTTCGACGATCAAGTCAGTTATCTCTCAAAGATAGCAAAAGTGCTTAACTCACTATTCAGAGCATAAAAAGCATACCTTAAACCCATGAGGGTGCTTCTTTTTTATAGCCAACACAATCCTAGTCTCAATAGAAGCCTAACTTCAATGGATTCTAGATTGCTGCTAATCTTAGACTTCTAGTAGGATTGGGATAAACTCTCTAAGAGTTTTATCTTTACCCAAACTGAAGTCATTCCTCATTCTAGGACTCTTGTCCCTTATCCGCTTATCCCGGATTCTAGTATCTTCGCAGATAACCTTGGCTTAGCCGAAATGATCTCGGCGTCATGACCAGGACACGTGGCACCTCGGCTGGCACTTCGGTGACACCTTGGCCACGTGTTATCATTCAAAAATTATGTCCCCACAATTGCCCCCAAGGTTCTATTACCTCGGCATCCTGAGGTGATGGAACCTATATCATTCCTTCCTTTAATCGTGACCCTGGTTTAACTTCAACTTGTAAATTTTTAAAATTTCAACAAGTGTTAAACATGACATCGGTTTAACTTCAACTAGTAAATTTTTAAAATTTCAACAAGTGTTAAACTAATCTCGGTTTAACTTCAACTTGTAAATTTTTAAAATTTCAACAAGTGTTAAACATGACATCGGTTTAATTTCAACTAGTAAATTTTTAAAATTTCAACAAGTGTTAAACTAATCTCGGTTTAACTTCAACTTGTAAATTTTTTAAATCTTAACAAGTGTTAAACATGACATCGGTTTAACTTCAACTTGTAAATTTTTTTAAAATTTCAACAAGTGTTAAAAAATGACCTCGGTTTAACTTCAACTTGTAAATTTTTAAAATTTCAACAAATGTTAAACATGACATCGGTTTAATTTCAACTTGTAAATTTTTAAATTTTCAACAAGTGTTAAATATGTCCTCAGTTTAACTTCAACTTGTAAATTTTTCTTAAAATTTCAACAAGTATTAAACATGTCATCAGTTTAATTTCAACTTGTAAATTTTTCTTAAAAATTTCAACTTGTAAATTTTTTTTAAAAATTTCAACAAGTGTTAAATCAACCTTAGCTTGTAAATTTCAACTCCCAAGCATCATTCTCTAGCCCTCTTTGATTCTCCATGCCCGATCTCCCGTAAAGTCCGGTGAGAATACCCCTTTGCCCTATCATGCTGAGGGACTGCAGGAATTGTGTTCTGCCCCCCTTTCTGGGCATCTTTCTTGGCCGCTGGAATCGGCGTATCTTGTAAAGGGAACAGTGACTGCATGACGTTGTTCTGCATCATGAAATTGACAGCCGTTTGCAGGTCCGCTAATTTGTCTGTCATTTATTTCATCTTGTCGTCCCTCCGCAGGCATCTATCTTTCCATACCTGGAGGTTGTTCTCGTCATAATACCCGCTCCAGTCCGATTTCTTCGGTATGCCGCTCTCCTAGCCGACGTCTTTTCCTTTGTGATTCTTATCACGAGTCTCTTCGTTGCAGTTGTCTTCTTTGATGTCAAGGTTGACAGGTTTCTCACTCCCAGTAGGAGTGTCGTCCCTAACCTTTTCTTTTTGTCCGTCATTGGCCATCTATTCTCCTTTCTTTCCCACATACGATGCCAAATTATGTGTATCAATTTCCGGCCACACTGACAATCAAGTACTCAGCTAGAAAACACTGTCAGAATAGGTTAAGCCCGAACAACCTATCACAAAAAGAAAAGATTTCGGCAGTGGTTCGTCCACCCGGGGGCACTCTGACGATCAAGTCAGTTATCTTTCAAAGATAACAAAAGTGCTTAACTCACTATTCAGAGTATAAAAAAACATACCTTAGACCCATGGGGGTGCCTCCCTTTTATAACCAATATAATCCTAATCCCAATAGAAGCCTAACTTCAATGGACTCTGGATTACTGCTAATTTTAGACTCCCAGTAGGATTGGGATAAGCTCTCTAAGAATCTTATCTTTACTCAAATTGATAAACTCTCTAAGAGTCTTATCTTTACCCAAACTGAAGTCCTTCCTTATTCTAGGACTCTTGTCTCTTATCCGCTTATTTCGGATTCTGATATCTTCATAGATAACCTCGACTTAGTCGAGATGATCTCGGTATTATGACTAAGACACGTGACAACTCGACTAACACTTCGGTGACACGTCAACCACGTATTGTTATTCAAAAATTATGTCCACACGTAACGATTGATGAGAATTGAGAATTTTCTCCTTAGAACTAGTGCACAAAACTTTATGAAATTCAGTCCTAGATGAATTTCCTCCCTCCCTCCACCAAAAGTGCTTGATTTTCGGAGGTAGTTTAAGGTTCTAGATGAATCTCCAAAATTTGGAAGCCAAACTTGACAATAATTTTTTATAAGAAGGTACCTAAAGCTTTCTCACATGTCGACTCCTTGTCTCAAACATTATAGGGAAATATTATCGTTCACGATGGTTTTCTAAAAATTATTTAACATTGATAGAAAATTTTATGATTTTAATATTTTTTATTTTTTATAAATTTTTTCCTGACATATACTGTAATTTTCCCACACTAAATACCACAATATATATACATAACAAGATAAAAACTTAACAATTGGGGAAAAAAAAAAGTTGAAGATATATTTACTAATTTTTCCCAAGGGAAACAAAAATTGAATTGGCTCAAATTTACACAATTTCTCTCTCCCTTTATCACGTCATAAATGTGTACATGTGGCTAATAAATCTAGGACATACAATTTCATACTTCCAAAAACCCAAAAATAAAAATAAAAATTGGGGATCCGGATTCATTGATGAGGACTACTACTACCAGCATTGATCCGTTTCCCATCTTCGGGTGGGGTAAAACCCGGACCGACTCACGACGGCGGCGTATCCAAACGGCCTCCCTCTCGATCCGGCGCTCAAACTCAGATCATACAGAGCCTTTGCCGCCGGATCGGACAGCGTGGTGTACGCTTTGTGAATCTCGATGAAATCTCGGCCGTCCGATGAATCACTATGCGATGATGATGAAGTGTCCGGGTGGTACACCTTCGCTAAGCTCCGGTACGCCGTCTTGATCTCCACCGGCGACGCGTTTCGATTCACTTTCAAGACCTCGTAGAGACTCGCCGATCTCGATTTCCTTGTTTCCACCGCTGGAGCTGTGGCGGTGGAGGCGTGGATCGCAGATTTGCAGGGATTTACAGCGGCGAAAGACATTTTGGAGATAGATCTGGTGGTTCCGGCGAGAGAAAGACGGTTTCCCGGCGAGAATCGAAAAGTTCCGGTGGTGGGGAGAGTTAGGGATGCGATCATTGCAAGGATTTGAGGAATGAATTGGATAAGAGAGAGAGAGTGTTTTCAGTTGAGGATTGAGAATTTGGAGGTTTAGATGGTATGAGGAGAAGAGAGAGAGAGGGGTTTATATAAAGTCACGGGGGAATCTTGAATTTTGAGGATCGCGAGAGAGAAGAATGGCGCGGGGCGCAGTAGTGGAGTGGAGCCGTGGGCGCCAGCCGTTTTTGCGCGTTTAAGCTGTTTCGCTAAACGGTGCTGTCCGATGCAAAAGGAAACCGGTTCTTGTCTGTTCTGACGTGGCACTAATGGAATACTATTTTTAAGACGAAAAATGCTTGATATTTACAAAACATTTCTACCTTTCAAATGATCTAATTCATCGTCTGACATAAAAAGGTTGGACTAAAATAGTTATAAGGAAAATAAATTAAGTTTAAAATTAATAAGATAAAATATTATAATTAAATTTTAATTATTTTATTTATTTATTTTTTATAAAAAATTTATCTTAAATAAGATTTTTTAATTTTAAATTAAAATAGTCAAATTTTTTTTTAAAAAAATCAAAAGTCAATCTACATCCCTAAGAAAGGCTCAATTGACAGCTGACTTATAACAAATTTAGGTTTGATTTGATAATTTAATATTTTAATTTAGAAAAATAATTTTTCTCTCGAAAATCCCCCCTGAATCTCCCGAAAAATGAAGAGGGGGAAGGCAAGAGAGAGAGAGAAAGAGAGGAGAGGAGAGAGGGAAACAGAGAGAGAGAGAAGAGAGAAGATCGGCCGATGCAGCTTTTCGTCGCAGCTCGACCGATCGTCGGCCGATCTCAGCTCTCCATCGCAGGCCGACCGTCACAGCAGCTCGGCCTCCGCCGTGCCTCCGCCCTTGGTTGATGGCCCCTCCCTTCTTTTCTTCTTCTTCTTTTTCCTTCTTTTTCTTTCTCCCCTAGTTGATGGCCCCTCTAGTTCTTCTTCTTCTTCTTCGTTTCTGATTGAACCAAAAAAAAAAAAAAATGCAAAAACGATGTCGTTTTTCAAATTCGGGCGATTCAGGAGGCTGGGTTTCGAGCTACCAATCATGGTTGTTTAATTTAAAAGTTAGAAAGTTATTAAAAAAATAAAAAGTAAATAATTTATATTAAAAAGTCAAAGAGTTTATTTCCTCTTTACTTTTTATACATCCTTTTATAAAAAATTAAAAATTAATTCCAAACATATTCAGCGTGTTTGGTTTTAATTTTCTGAATTCAGTTTTCTACAAAATTGAGTTTTTTATTTTTCGTATTTTTTTGTTTTTAGTTTATATTTTTAAAATTTTCAGAATTTTTTTTAATTTTTTAGATGCACCTTACTTAGATGTATCAAAATAGTAAAATATTTATGAAAAACTATTTTAAAAAATTAATAAGTACAAAAAAATATGTAAAATATATTGATTTTTTTTTTTGTATTTAGTAAATTTTTTAAAGATTTTTTCACAAATATTATATTTTTTAAGTGTATTTATGTTAAGTGTATTTAAAAAAAATAAAAAAAAAAATTGCTTAAAATATTAAAAAAAATTCATTGAAAACCAAAAAAATACGAAAAATAAAAAAATAGAATTTTTTGAGAAATGTTTTCTAGAAATCAAAACCAAACAAGTTGATAAATTTTTTTTATCTCACATTTTAACCAAAAAATAAAAAAGTTATTAAAATAACATATTCCCAAACGAGGCCTTAATCAACAAAAATAAAATAGATTAAACAATTAATAAGATAAAATGTTACATTTAAATTATAATTATTTTATTTTTTCTCTTACAAAAGTTAAAAAAATCAAAAAAATCAATTCAAACAAATTTTTTAACCGGAGTTAAAATAGTCAAAAAAATCAACTAAAAAAGTTAATTGCCAAAAGGCAACTAAATAAATATATTTTTTGATTTTTTATAAAAATATGTATAATGTGATAGAGATGTGATGTAACTTAAATAAAATATTAAAAAAATGCTAAAATAGTATACACCAAACAAGGCCCAAATGTCTTCCTGAGTATGTCTCACATGGGTATGAAACCCACATGAATCTGGCACTTATTATGTAAGACATTTAGTAGAAATGTTGATAAATTTCTTGGGATCTCTAACACTGCTCTTTTTGGGACACAGATTCTATTCGCTAGAACATTCCCGTGATTCACAAGTGTGTTTATTTTTTGGATCGTGTGGATATATATATATAATTAAGTTGATTTGATAACAGTAAATATATTAATTTATGATATTTATTTACAAGAAAAAAAATGAACGATAAATATTAAAAACTAAACAATTTATCTTTTGGGAGACAATTGCAATAAATTAATATGATTATAATTATTAAATCAATTTAACTTTTTTATAAGTAATTTATGCATTATAATTAAAAAAATAAACAATTCAAATCGGGAACTAGATCCAACATCATGGGACTAAACAACATGGTGTAGGTTGGGGTGTAAATTGGGCCGGTCCGGCCTATGTTGGGCCACCTGGTCTCTCACCAAAATTTGGGCCAGACTGGGCTAGCCCACGGGCCAACAAATTATGCTCAGGCCTAGGGGTATTCGGGCCTTGGGCGGGCCGATGCCGGGCTTGAATATTGTTTTTTAAATTTTTCCTATTTTTTCTATCAATTTTTTATTATTTTTATACTAAAAATGACACTAGGCCATGGGCGGGTTAGGTGGGTCAGGCCTCAGCCTAGGCTTTGAGTGAGCCTTGAGCTAGTTGATGGGTCGGGCCATGGGCCAAACTAGGCAGGTCGGGCCCACAAGCCAGACCCAACTTTAAAATGACAGCTTAGGCCTAGGATCCCGGGCTAGGCTCGGGTTTGGACTTAACGGGACCAAACCCATCCAAGCCGTGAGTGGACTTCGGGCTGCCCACCGACTGCGGGCCATTTTTACACCCCTAGGTGTGGGTTGTGTTGCGGATAAAATCTGATTTCCTATGGACTCTTCAAAATTGTGTGCTAAGCATGTGATTATAGATGACAAAAAGAAATAAAGATACGACTTGATTTTTTTGACTTGTTTTAGGAAGTAAGCTAAAAGTTAATTCTTTATTTTTATTTTTAATATTTTTTAAAAAATATTTAAAAATAGAGAGATGATGTGACTCAAAAAATTTAAAAATTTAATTTTAAGTCAATTGCCAATATAGACCTTTGTATAAGGTACTTTTTAATTTAGAAAGTTGATGGATATATGTATATGAATAATGCATGTGACTCCTTTTTGGGGGTCACCCCCTCACCCCCCTTTGCCACGTGGCGGGTGGTGATTGGAGGAGCAGGAAAAAAAAGAAAAAGAAAAAAAAAATGTAACCAATAAGAGAGAGAGGGGGTCAAAAGGGGTGGGAGGAAAGGGGGATGAATCATTGTTGTATATATATACAAATATATATATTTTTGGGTGAAAGTGGATGGATATTTCAATAATATATTTAAAGAGTACTTTAAAATAAGTTTTATTAATTGTGGGTTCATTTAATCGTGCATTTATAGAAAATAATAAAATAATTTAAAAGATTAAAAAATACAATGGCTACCATCCCTTCTCTTTTTGTGTGCTAACAGTGTTGTTACATTTACCTATCTTAGCTCACGTCTAACTTAACAGCACAGTTTGCTAATGCATTTGAGGGAAAGAAAAAAAATAAATAAATAAGTATTTTATTTGTAATGCATTTGAGGGAAAGAAAAAATAAATAAATAAATAAGTATTTTATTTGTACAATAACTTGACACTAACGGATTGATTAATAGTCCATTGAAAACATCTTTTTCTTCTTATTTTTTCTCATTTAAGATTGGTCTTATGGATGTTGAGCCTCTGCCTCACTCTAAGGTAAATTATGTTGGAATGGTTATAAAATTCTGGATAAAATCAGAATTTTTTCCTAAGTTCGGTCTATTTTTTAGGTGGGCCCCGAGTGTCGATTTACTCGGGTCAAAGTGGTAACGCGTTCTATGCCGCGTTGTGATTCACGTGGTATATTTGGTTGCTCAAAACCATTACCGAGTGAATGGGAAATTGAAGCCAAAGTGTGCTCCATGGAAATGGAGTTTTGGTGGAAATTCCTTAAAAATAAATAAATAAATAAGTATTTTATTTGTGCAATAACTTGACACTAACGGATTGATTAATAGTCCATTGAAAATATCTTTTTCTTCTTATTTTTTCTCATTTAAGATTGGTCTTATGGATGTTGAGCCTCTGCCTCACTCTAAGGTAAATTATGCTTTATTTTTTCTTAATTATTACAGTGTTTATCATTTTATTTATCAATAAAAAAAATAGTATACTTCACTACATGTCTTATATGACTTCTCAAATATTATAAGGAATTTGAAATAATCTTATTAATCTCAGTCTTTTTATTCTCTTTCTCCATCTTACTTTCCATACATCTATGTCATTAGTGATTATAGTTACTTGCTCTAATATATGTGTGCCATATCTATTGATGTGACTAGGAAAAAAATATATATTATTTTACATTTCACAATATTTAAAATATAATGTGCAAGTCACATTAATTTTTCATCTATTTACATAATAAATTTATAACCAAAGGTTCATATTATCACGAAATGATAATTCAAAATGGACAGAGTGTAATAAAGTGACACTGAAAATTTGAGAAGATAAGGTATATTTTACTAAGTTGAACATAATTATAATGACAAAATCCCTAAAAAGACTTATTAAATTATTCATAATGATAGAATAAGTTACATGTTAATTTTTAATCGATCATAAACACAATCATTTAAGATTTAATTCTTTGATTTGTTATTGTAAATAAATTATGAATTTTAAATGGTTGGCCTTTAGTACTCTTTAATTTTCAATGAGGCCTTATTTAGAAACTTAGTTTTTTAGCTAACAAGTTAAAAAAGTTACTATAAAATTATCAAATTATTTTTCTCTATTATTTTTGTATATATATATTTTATATAAAAAGTGAAAAAATCACTTTAAAAAGTTTATTCCCGTTGCAATCAATCGAGCTGCTTTGGTAAGGGTCACCCCGATCAAATCCGGATCCTTGGTCGCACTCGCCTGCCGCCCTCCAAAACGACGTCGTTTTGGAGGGTTTTTTTTTT